TATGCTCCTTAATTTTATAGTCTTGGCATCTCATCTTTTGCCATTCTGATTGTGTATCCTTGACTTTCCCATCCTCTAGATAGGGCATTGATCCTTTTCTTTATTCACTTTGTTTATTCCTTTGTTTATTCCATTTAATATACTTCTCACCTTAGATAATGTGTTCTTCATTTCAGACTGGTTCCCTTTTATAATTTCCATTTCTATTTTTATGTTTTTTTATGAAATTCTCACTGAATTTATCTACACTTCCCAAAAGTTCATTGAGCATCTTTATAACCAGTGTTTTGAACCTTGCATTTGTTAGATTACTTGATTCCGTTATTTCTGGATCTCTGTTCCATTCACTCATATGGTTTCTGATTCTTTGTCTTCCCATTTTGGCTGCCTTTTTGTGTGTTTCTATGTACTAAGCAAAGCTCCTAAGTCTCCCAGTCTTATTAATGTGGATTTGTGAAGTAGGTATCCAGTGGCACAGTCCTGAGAGGGGTTCAGCTGCAGGCCAAATTTAACCCAAGCCTCTTCCCCTCCAGGGCCACCTGTTAAGATTCAGCAAGCAATCCACAGATGCTGTGCTTATAGTTGCCTCAAAAGACCACACCAGAAACTAAAGCCAGCTGCCTCCAGTGTGAGTCTAGGCGCTGCTCAGCAAAGAGCACCTGACTCACTTAGGATATACCTGGATGTGGCTTGTGGGGGGGTGGGCATGAGTTGGGGGAGGTGGAGTTTCAGAGAATCCCCTGGGTAGAGCGACCTCTGTTATCTAGTTTAATGACATCTGGGCTATGGCAATGCTGTGTCAGGTGCACAGCATGGCCATAGCCCAGATGTCATTAAACTGGGAGGGTTCAACAGAGAACAATGGATACTGCCGGCACTTCTGTACAGAGCAAGTCTCGCCTTGGCCCTCAACTCTGACAATGTCTCCCTGTAAGTCCCTGGTGCCCTCTGTGCGCAGCCAAATCGGCACTGGTACTCAGAGCAAGCAGGTCCGTCCGTCACCACGAAAATCCGCTCACAGAGGTGGCCCCTTTAAGAGGTGGCTGCCGCTACTGCAGCCTCCATCTCATTCAGCTGCTCAAGACCCGGCAGCCCCATGTCCTTGCCACGTCCTAACTTCTGCCGTTGCAGGGTGATTTCTTGGATTTCTCCCTAGTTGTATGGCTTGTTCATCTAGATCCCAGGAGATTTTTTTCTTGCTCTTTGCTCCTTGTTTCCATCACAACTTTGATTTGGTCATCAGAGGAATGAACAGAGCCTCTTTGATCTACACCATTTCTTTTTCTCTTCCAAGATTGTCCCACTTTTAAGTGATGTATTGATCACTGGGTTCAGGTACAGTCAGTCTGATCATTCATAAAAAGGTTCTCCATCAACTTTTTTTTCATTGTTGACTTTAGTGTGGTTTTGTAACATTTTTTAAAAATTATATACAGTCAGCTATATTTATTCGTAATACCTTCCAGTTTTCCAGAACTGATTATGATGGCTACCCAACTACTAATTTGTAGGTATATAGCGTCTCCTAACTCCTTTAGGCGAGGCATCCCTTGGTTGACTTCAAAAATTGCAAGGACCTTGTCAGCTTACAATCCCTAATTTTTTAATTTTTACACCCACAGCACCTGTTCTTCCTAGGTGGTCTCCCATCCAAGTACTAACCAGGCCCGATGCTGCTTAGCTTCTGAGATCAGACAGGATCAGGCTTGTTCAGGGTGACCTGGCCGTAGACAAGTCTACTAACTCTTTAATGAAAACTTTATAGTATTTGTTTTTTTGTTCGTTTGTCACTTAAGGTTTTGGTTCATCTGGACTATGGTATATGATAGGATTCCATTTTTATTTCCAGTTGGCTGGCCAATTGTGCCTGTGTTATTTGTTTAAAAATCCATCTTTTCCCCCATTGAATTGCTTTTGTCCTGCATTAAAAACCTACAAACTGAGATCTGCCTCTATTTCTATTTCACTAATTGTCTATTCCTACACCATCACCATATTAATTTTATTAGAATGATATCACGGTATGTCTGATAAGGCTGGTTTCCCCTTGCCCATTTTCTTTTTCTTTCAACTTTTTACCTAATGGATTTAGTAGCTACCGATGATAAGTGCCTCGATTTATTATTTTAATAGGGGTTATTACTTTTGCTTTTAAAGGCTTGATGTTACACATTTTAGAAATATAAATTATGTATGATTCCTACAGTATATCTCTTTGATTTTTAAATATACATCCAAATAGCCAGAGTGAACTTCTTTATGATTCACTTCAAACCTGAGTAGTAATTATTGCTTCCTTAGTTTATAGATTTTTAAAAATAAATCAGCTTTCTTTTTGCTTCATCCCTCCCACCCCCAATCCCCAACAGATTGAAGAAGAGATGTTGGCTTTGCAGAATGAACGCACAGAAAGAATACGAAGCCTGCTGGAGCGTCAAGCCAGAGAAATTGAAGCTTTTGACTCTGAAAGTATGAGACTAGGTTTTAGTAACATGGTCCTTTCTAACCTCTCCCCTGAGGCATTCAGCCATAGCTACCCAGGAGCTTCTGGTTGGTCTCACAATCCTACTGGGGGTCCAGGACCTCACTGGGGTCATCCCATGGGTGGCCCACCACAAGCTTGGGGCCATCCAATGCAAGGTGGACCCCAGCCATGGGGTCACCCCTCAGGGCCAATGCAAGGGGTACCCCGAGGTAGCAGTATGGGAGTCCGCAATAGCCCTCAGGCTCTGAGGCGGACAGCTTCTGGGGGACGGACGGAGCAGGGCATGAGCAGAAGCACGAGTGTCACTTCACAAATATCCAATGGGTCACACATGTCTTATACATAACTTAATAATTGAAAGTGGCAATTCCGCTGGAGCTGTCTGCCAAAAGAAACTGCCTACAGACATCGTCACAGCAGCCTCCTCACTTGGGTACTACAGTGTGGAAGCTGAGTGCATATGGTATATTTTATTCATTTTTGTAAAGCGTTCTGTTTTGTGTTTACTAATTGGGATGTCATAGTATCTGGCTGCCGGGTTTTGTTTGGGGTTTTTTTTTTGTTTGTTTAATCTTTTGATAGAAATTATGAAAAGGGGAATCCTGAAAGCTGCAAAAACAGAATGCAGCAAAGTGGTTTGAGTCGTCACTTTTGGGCAACTGTATCCTAAGAAGTTTGTGAAAAGATCTAAAGCCTTTCTCCATATCCCCAATTCTTATGAGCCACTCACAGCAGGCAGCATATGCTGAAACAAGTTATTATGGAAACACACTTGTATCCCCAATGTATTTTCTTTATTAAATTGGTCTGACTTCTCAGCCTCATTTGGAGTAAAAAAAGTGGAAATCCATGAACACTAAAGGATTGCATTAACTTTTTCAGAGTAGAAAACAACTTAGTTCTTTTTCTGAATGCTGCATAGGTGTATCAGTGACTTTTTTTTTTTTTTTTGGCCATTCAATTGTGCCTTCTTTGTGGCATGGTGAGATGGAGGTGCTTAAAGAGATCACCAGTGGTGTAGGAATTACATCAACAAACCTGTGAGCCTTCAAAGGAGAAGACCAGAGGGTGAGAGAGGTCCCTGAAAGTTCATATGGTACGGTATGTTCAGCAGCAGAGAGAGGAGATGAAGCTTGTATGTCCTGACGTTTTGTTGCTTATACTGTGATAGTTCATCCTAGCTAAGCTCTATAACTCCCAAGACCCAAACAGTACTTTTACTTTGTACAAAAAAGACAGATAGCCAATACAAATCAAATGCCAAAGGTATTTGAATGATGCCATATTTGTAAACTACTATCTATTGGAATTCTCATCACACTACATAGACAGTAATCTGATTACCCTGTTTTGGCTTATGCGATTTCTTGTTTACAAGTAGAATAGCCAATTATTTAAATGTTTAGTTGCCACAGTGAACCAGGAATCACTGAGCCAATGACTACCAGCTGCTGACTAACCTCATCACCACTGTAGATTTTGGTGCATGTGCAGGTCGTCGTCTTTTTTTTTTTTTAATTGCTGTTTTTGTTGCTGTAGTACTTTACAAACTTCTAGTTCCTTGAGACTTAGTGACCATTTGGCATCATGTTAACATCATACAGTAGGAAACACCACTTCCAGAAGTCTCTAGCCCCAGTGCTAAATTACTACTGAAAAGGAACTAGCAAGTTTGGCAAATTAAAAAAGAAAAAGTAAAGTAAATTATAGTGGTCAGGGAATCTCTTGACAAAAGCTAACATTTTTTTCCAGAGAGGGGCATGTTTTGTTTTGCTTTGCTTTGCTTTTTGTTTTGTCTTGTTTTGCAATGAAGGAATTTTGCAATGCTGAAAGATGTTACTTGGTATTCCAATGCCAGTGTGGAAATTTAGTTGAAGGTGGTTAGGGAGCTATGAGTACTTGAAGGAGAAAAAAAATGTTCTTTCCAGTGACACACCAGAGTTTCTTACAAGTTAATTGTCCTGCCCCCTCCCCAGTTGTCTTGAAGAACTCTTGCTTTTAACTCTGGATCCTACTTTTCATATAGTTTGAGGGGCTCCAAGTTAGAATTCTTTAAATCTCTCTTAGACCAGACTGATGCACAAACAGTAATTTATCACTGTTGAAATCTTGGTTTTCTCAACCAAATTTAAGTCTTCCCCAGGTATATCAGTCCAATCTCCATGAATCTTCCCTTTCAGGAGTTTCTAGCATTCATTTAAAGGTAACTGGAAGAAAAATATTTTAACATAAATATTTTTTAAACTGATAACAGTAGAATTCATACATAATTTTAGGCAGTGTTTCAGGTAGCACTCTGACACATTGTCCTCTTGGCTATGCTTGAGATCACCAGTTTTTAGTTGAACATGACATGTATTTGTCATATCTAATGAAAGGAGCTTTTAATTTTCTCAGTTTTTTGTTTTGTTTTGTTTTTTTTGCATTCAAATATTATACAATATTTTAAACAAATTGAGATATCTACCTATTTGGAGGAAAATGATAGAAGAGAGCTTGTTAGCCCCTCTGTACTGGAGGGGTGACCTAGGGAAGCAGATCAGTTTTGTATACAAACCTCTTTAAAATCCAAAGTATTACCAGTGATACATGTTAAAGTCCACTTGTGAACTTAAATTAGTCAAACTGAGTTACTGAGTTCATGCAGAACATATGTACTCGCAAAATCGGGACTGAATACTGACGCCAAATGTCTTATCTGGTAGGACTTTGTATCTGATTTACTTGTGTGGCAACCAGTTTTACATGTAGTTCATGAGTATACATGGTTTATTCCATTAAATTTTAATTAAAATATATACAGTTTGTAAAAATGATTCAAATTAATTGGTTTGTGTGTGTTTATAAAATCTCACTTCTGAGGAATCTCATACATTTTAGGAATCATCAAAGAGTAAAGCTTGTAGCAGGAAAATTTGAAAGGTTTTAAGAGATCCTCAAGAAAGAAGCAGGCACTTTCTGAATCAGTGCGCAAATGTCAGCATTTGATCAAATTAATACTACCTCCTCCCCAAGTGTTTGTGTTCACCCGATATACATGTATTTAAGAAAATTAAAAGTGTGGGAAATTTGTCCAGCGTATCAGAAAGTCGTAAATGCTATATCTGGTATCCAGAGCTTGGCAGTAAAAAATTTATTGTGTTTACTGTCTCTCCCTTTCTTTAGTTAGCATTTTTAAAATGCAAAACCCCATATCTTGAAATATATTATTCCTAATTGGTTCCCCTTCCTTTTGCACATATTTTTTCCTCCCTTTATTTTAATTTCAGCTCTAACACTAGATTATAGTTTCTTCGTTATATAGATAATGTTAGCTGGAAAGTATGTTTATATTATTTTTATTCAGAGCTGCCATTCTTTTTAGTCATTTCTATGCCTAGAGGCGAATAGCCCTGCATTTGATGCCACACCCACAAGTATAATATACTTGGTACTCTGGGCCAAGGATTTATTTGTAAATTGAACTCTTTAGCATAGTCATGATGATTTTCAGCTGCCCAGACATCAGGTAAACACCATTCAGTACACTAAAGGAACTGTCTTTGACACCCTTCCACTCCCACCTACTCTTCCTCACCCCCTTTTCAAAAATCAAAAACTCTGTGAGTGTCTTTCAGACCATAAGACAGACTTTAGTAACTTTCTACTTCTTTAAGTGCTAAATGTCTGGCATTTTAAACTTTTATAGAATACATTGTGTTAGACACTGGAATAATACTGTTTATTTTCACCTGTGAAAAATGACTTTATTGTACTTGAAACACCTCCTTTGCATTTTCTCCATTTGTGCCATTCACTAGTGGAAATAAATTGTATTATACCATGATCTACTGGCTTTTTAAAACTGTGTTAAATATGCACATTTTTGGTATAGCTGTTATCATTTGTATGTATATATTGTATATACATATGCGTGTCTGTATGTATGTACAGATAGATGGATATAACTCATACTGTACATTTCCATCAGGGCACTTAGGATTCTGTTATTTTGTTATTTCAATCCTCAGTTAAGGCAAGTATGCATGTGTTTAAGAAAGTAATCTGGGTTGATATTTATGAGAACATGGTCATTAGATGGAGTCTTTTCTTTTTTTAATCCCCTCTTAGCACTTGTGTGGGTGGAAAGAAAGTTAAGTAAAATGTGGAACCATAAATTGCAATGCAGTAAAATAGTGCTGGTGAAGGAGCCAGTTTCTATGGGTTTATGTCATGATGCAATGAAAGATAAGTGATGCAGAGAGAAGTGAACCATGGAAATTAAAAGCACTGGTGGTGATTCCTCTGCAAAGATGATAAAAACCAGTAAATCACACAAACTTCATGTGCACTCATACATATTTCTTAATAATAATTATTATTAATTTTGCTAAACCAAAACAGCCAAGAAAAGAATTACTGCTAAAGCATCTAAGGTTCTACAAATTGTAAAATGAACAGGAAATGGCCACTGGGAGAGAAGGATATGGTATTAGCGTGGGGCTTTCTCCCTTTAGCTGCCTCTTCTTGCTTGGTAATAGTAAGGTTTTTTGTGCACCTTCCACTCCTTCTGAGCCGCTACTATTCAAGCAGAGATTTGGCGCAACACAGCTACCCTTTCCTAGGACGTTTATATGGTCCTGTTTTGTCCCATACTTAAAATGTGAAGTGACTAGTGCATATTCAAGTCAGAAAATAATATATTTAAGGTATATAAGTGTGAATCTCCTATAATGATGGAAGAAGAGGTTCTTGTTTCTTAGATAGAAAACAGCCTTTTCTAAGGAACAAAACCAAAACCTGGCTGTCATCTTTGAGCTGCTTACCAAAATACAGATCATTATTCAAGAAGAACAGATTCTCTTTTGTTTTCCTTCATCTAACATGATAGTGCCCCCAACTAGGTTGTAGCATTGCCGTTGAAAAGGCACTCACTCTTAGTTGTTAAGAACTGGACATTTCCCATCCTCAGATTCCTTAAAGATGGAAGAGTGTGCTGTACACTTAGCAGACTTGCCTCTTGTATGCAAGGACTACTGATTGAAGTCTGTTTTGCTGTGTGTCTGGTTATGTTGTCTGCACTTTTATGAAATCACTACAGTAGATCTACATTGGAAATAACTAATGAAATAAGTTTTAAACACTGTCTAGAAAAAGAAAGTGAAGCTGAGAACTCTTCCTTTATTGTGCATTTTTATTTTCTACTGAATTCCGATAGCCCCCTTTAAAGTCACGTTGAATAATTTTCCCCTCATTTATATTCAGACTTCCAAATTTTCACCCATGCAAGGGAAGAGAACCCATTTGGCCTAATGGTAGCCTTCAGGTTATAAGAAATATATAAATTAGTATGCACCTTATCTGCCTGTTGTGGGTTTCTTAAACTTGCACTTCCTTCTCACCTACCCTAAAGTAGATACCCTTTAAAGAAAATGAAGGCAGAGAATTAAAACTGGGGAGCCATTTACTATGTCACCAGCACTGTTAACTGTTTTCCCAGCAATCGTAACTTTTTGAAGTTTCAGAGATTTTTGTGTGTGTATGTGTATATGTAGCTGTGTTGGATTTGTTTTGTTTTTAAATATACAAGAGATTCTTCTTTGAATAGAGAAAAAGGTTAATCTTTTCTGAAACAAGATACCCACTGGATATACTAATCTGAACATCTATAGGTAGTTTGCCATGAAAAAGTGGAGAGAAGATGAGACTTCTGAATGAATGAAAGGGTATCTCAATGCCCAATAATTTCCCCCAAAGTACGGGTAATTTCAACCTGCACAGTTTCCTTTTCACTCATAGTTTTTAGCAATTGTGAGTGAAAATTCATGTAATTATCTGTAAATATGTAGCTAACAAATTGACCTAGTTTCTGTATTTTTGTTTGTTTTTGTACTAAAGTTTATAAGTCTGTGCCAGCTAGAGAGGAGTTGCTGTCATTGCTGGTTGTGGTCCTAGCATCTAACCCTGAAACTGTCCTAGATGGCATTTTTAGAATTAATGCTTAATGTTGTTAAACAGGGAAATGATGTTTAATCATTGGTCAGATTTAAAATCTTTCGAAGTGAAGTCATTTAATATAATGATTACATGTCCTCAATCATAAATGAGGTAGGGAGCCTCCTTCCCCCAGTGGCCATGTTTACAGAAGTGTGTTTTGTTGATAAAGTGCAAGAGTTTTAATATTCATGTAAATTATGCAGGTAACATTATGGCTTGAAACTGTTTATTGGGCGCTCTAGCTGAATTTTCAAATGAAATGAACTATTCGTATTGTTGGCACATTGATCCCATTTCTGGAGCATTTTTCCTATTTCGAAAAATACCTATATTCTTTGGTCATTATCCCCACTTAACTTTTTTCCGATATGCCTTGTAACCTAAGATCGTTAAATCTGATGAACATAGACAAGGGAAATGCATTTTTAAAAATCCATGAACCCTCATTTGTATGCTTTCAGTACTTGTGTTAAATGTTTCTATGGCAACTCTGAGGTCAGTGGAGTTTACGAATTAGATACGAATGTTAATGAAAAGTGTGTACTCTGCTTTTGCACGGCTTGGCTTAGCATCAGAGGTATATTAGGGCCACTTGAAAGCATGAAGGCTAGTTGTACGGGAACAGGTTTCTCTCAGTGGCACATTTTGCTTTTCCTGAGCCCTCAAATACGTTGCCTCAGCATGAACATTATTGATACTATAAATTGCACATGGTCATGGAGTGAGTTGTGTGATTAAAAAGATGTAACTGCTTAATGTTTGCAGATTCTGGCTGATCCATGTGACTGGCGCATATCAAACACACAGGGAGTGGGGGGGTGGTACTGGAACCCTTTTAACTCCTTTTTTTGTCATAGACAAGTATAGTTAGTTTCAGATATTGGCTGCCCCTGGTATGTTGCCAGACAGCTCTTTTTTGGTGTCCATTCCAAATGTGCTTCCTTGCATTTCATATCACATAATACCACTCCTCCCCAACATTTTATGTGTTATACTTTTTATTCCACATTAAATGGGAATCGTGCCTACTTAGAGTGTCCCTCCAATTAATTACATACACGTGTCCTAAAATAATCCAAGCCAGAGATACAAGGTGGGAAATTTAAAAAAAACAATCTGAGGGCCAAGAATGCAGGACTGACTTTTCTCAAACATGTGCTTTTTTCTATTAAAATGCTCAGTTTTCTTTCTCCTCTGGAACACACTGGGTATTCTCGAGCTGTGTCTTCAATTTGCAAATCCTAGGACCTTTGAATAAAACGTTGGTGGGAAAATAAAAAAAAAAAAAAAAAAAAAAACAAAGTCCACTTGAGGCCAGTAATTTATCAGACAAGGTATTTTATCACATTATCTTGACACTTGATATATGAGCCTATTAAGAGTTGCAGGTGGTTTCATAGAGCAAAATCCAAGTGAAAGGGATATTTGGGGTTTCTATTAGGAGATAATTTTGTTCTTATTTTACCTTTCCTTTTATGATCCTTCTCTGCGAGGTTAGACTAGGTTAATTTTCCAAATTAATTTTATTTTGTCTTTTATCTTTTAGAGAAATTTTTACAAAAGCGATGGTCTGATGTAAATAACATTTTTAAGTATAGTGCACATAACTTCCCCAGATTATTCCAACCTGATAATTTGTAAATGCTTTAGAGTTTTTTAAATTAACAGTTGTGTTGCTAAATCCTATTTATGTAAGTCTGCTGAAATTTTTAACCCATTTAAAACTTAAGACAAACATTTAAATAATGGATGGGTTACACTGAGTTATTAAGCTTTCAGAACCCCCTTGTTTTAGTATATGAAAAATATAGCCTAATGCGCATTAATGAGGTTGGAGAGACTATGAGAAATATGTATAGTGTATATTTTAAAACAGCTTTGCTTGTATTGTGAAGATTTAAAAACAAACTTGAGATTTTTAACGTAATTATTAACACAGTTTTAACATAAGTTATCCCACTGGGTTTAAGAGCATCTTGAATGTATAATCCTTTTTTTGTAACCCAGGTCGGTTTCTGCTTTTACCAGTCATACAAACATTTTATTTATGTTTTTAGTTTTATATACTAATTTCCCTTTGTTTTCCTCAACCAGCATGATTTTTTTGCACATGTAGAAATTTTTAAAAAGAAAACTTAATACATCATTTTCTCCGGGTTTTCTTCACTTCTCCCTTCCTTTCCACTAACTCCTTACCTTAAAGGCCATATCGCTCCATTTGCATTATTTGTGCAAATGCCAGGGTTGGTTTTTATTTTTATTTTTGCTATTTACTTAAAAAAACGAAAATGCTTCAGTCAATTGCTTTTTTATTTAAAAAAAGAAAAAAGAAAAGAAAAAAAGCTGTAACCTTATCATTTCTGAGTAGACCATTGAGAGATGAATGCACACCTGTAATAGCCCAAGACCAGCTTTGGTGGCTAAAGGGAATGTTTTAACTAAGCAAGAGTTTCTTTTCTAAAAGTGGTATATATTTATTCACAATCTCTTTAAGCTATTCCCACAAGTCAGGGGTCCAGATAAAATGAGGGTTATCAGCTAACTGATATGTTATCATTGAGGTTCATCAATGAATTTGTACATTTCTAGTTCCCTTTGGTGAAGGGAAAATGATGATTTTGCAAGACCTAGATTTTGGCTTGGTTTCTTGCCTCCTTTTTTGGCAGCCTTCATCTTCTCATCTCCTAAAGCCCTTGAGCCTGTAGGGTTTTTGTAGTGGACAGAGGGCTTGTGGTCTTTTAAAACTAGGACTGACTTTTTGGTGAGCAATTATCCTGTTGAAAGTGATGTTCTGCCACTTTACCGATGACTAAGTTTAAATACACACAGTCCTCTCAATTTTCGGACCAAACAAACGCCCACAGTGGAGGCTTACCAAGGGTTGCAATGAGGAAGAAGCCTCTCCCTCACTGTCAGCACCAGCTGGTAAAGGTGACTGTACAGATGTGCATTTTCCTTTTGGTAGACATGGTCCACAGCTCTAACTGGTAAGGCTTATTGTACAGTATATTGTCAGTATTCTTCTGGTTCAACATACCTTATAGTTCATATATAACCTGTATTAATTGTATAGATTGTGCATTTAAAGCTGTTACCAAGTTGTCAGAACATAAGAGCGAAAACAAGGTTACATGTAATATTTTGTTTGTAAGTATCCTTTGTATCATAGCAAAGGAAATGTTTAAAAAATCAACTGTAATAAAGTAATTTTAGTACACAGAGTGTCTGCTCAGTTTTTTTAAGTAATTTTATTCTCATAAAGATAAAATATATTTCAATTCAGTGACTATTGGATAATTACTGAATCTCATGTACCGTGCTGGATGTTAGGCTTATAAAAATGAATACGATTATGGGTAAGAATGAAACTCTGATATAGACCTAAACCCTCTAGTCTAATTTCCTCAAATTCTATTTGCCCAGAGAGTGAAGAGGCCTATTGGTGTGTGGGTGTGAGATGATTCTTTAGGTTCTAACAGTTTGATGCAGGTCCTTAAGTTTCATATTGACCTATTTGTGGTCTACATAACTACAACTCCTCCCACATATGGACACACAGATATGTGCAGTTCTCAGACCTTGCACAAAGCTTCAAAAGGTGGTTTCATCTGGGCCTATCTTTCTAGATTGGAAAAACATCACATTTTAGCCCTGTGTGAAGCAGAATATCTAATCCAGTTTAAAACACAAAGTGACATTTTTGTCAGAAAGCTAATTTGGGGGGAGGGGTTTCATGGACTGGGGTTATGTATTTTTTAGTTAGAAAATGGTTTTTTTAAGTGTCATTTTCAAAAATTAGTGGGATTACCTGCTTTATTGAAGAGAAGACTATCAAGAAATGGTGTTTTTAACTTTTTAGTATAGCATTTTAATTCCTAGAATGTTGGTAGTCAGCTATTTTGAAATTAACTAACATTTATATAATGTTTAATTTGCCTGGGTCAAACAACTATGTGGCAGAGCCAAGATTAGATCCCAGGTCTCCTATCTCCAGCATTTCCAACATCCCACCTTGAATTTGGAGGAACTCAAAAAGGGTTTAATTTAAAAAAAAAAAAAAAAATTCTTTCTGCTTTATCCCCATTATTGGGCTCCTCAAACTGTAGTGAAAGGAGAGTATCATAAAACATGTGCTTCTACCTTGTATCCTATGTCAACAACACAAATGTCATTGGCTAAACACATCAAAGATGTTCTTAGTTATGCTTAGGGTTTAAAGCCTGTCCTACTTGACTATAAAAGAAATATGAACATAAATAAAAATTTACCACAGTGGTCAACTAACTCCATAGCCCCAGTGGTTGTAAGCTAGTACTATCACCTTCATCTCTGTCAGTAATTCCAGCTGTAGAACTAGGGTTTTCTGTATGCATTATGGGCAATTAGTGACTAGTCGCTACTATATTTTCAGGTGTTTGTTCTTAATAAATAGATGGAGACAAGGCTGCTGAGGGTGCTAAGGCTATGCAAGCTATAAAATAACTTTAGGGGTGTCATTTCTAATTAATGTGTATGGCTCCTCCACAGAGTTGTGCACTCCAGCAGCTCTGAAGACATTCTTTACCGTTTTGTTAAAACCCTTTACATTATGGAGTCTAAAATGAGCATTATTTACTGTCATCCAGTGAATGACTGGGAAAAGGCAAAGTATGGCATAAATAGCACTGATTTGGGTTCTGGTTTTCTAGCCTCACCATACTAATTGTGAGAAAAGTCACATCTCAGAAAATTCATCCATAAGAAATAGGAAAATAGATGGGTTTTGGCCAGAACAAATGAACTGGTGTGAAACCTATGAGCTATAACATGGTTCTCAGAGTGAGTGTGTGTGTGTGTGTGTGTGTTTGAGCCAGGAGTGGGGAGACTGCCCTCAACTGGGCAATCCAGGCCCCAGCCTGTGAGCCTCAAAAGGTGCTGCTCTTTCAGGCCCTTTCTAACTTTGCAGTAGAACTTATAACTGGAACTTCTCGGCCTTGTAAGAATTGGAGAATAGATTCTGATCTGAAAGCAGATGCCACCTCACCAGAAAGGCCTTTGAACTCCAACTGAGGAATTAAGTAGACATGGAGACTGGGATCTCCCTGCTTTTACTATCTCATTACATCCTAACACTTCCTGAATTAAGACCTATTCACAGTCTCAGTCTTTTCATATGGAACAACTCTATAAAATAATTTTTCCAAGGTCATACGAGTCACTGATAAAGCAGAAACTAGAACTCACATCTCCAAACTACTTCGGCACTCTCGCCAACACAATTTACTAATTGGCCACTGGAAGATATCTCTCTAGGTACCATTGATGATTAGAGAATTTTGAACCTGCAGGGAAATTATTAACCTAGAGGTAGAGGCCTGGTTGTTGATTAAACAGAGCCGCCATTGGTTAGTGACAAGAGACCCAGGGCTAGATCTACAGAAGTGAAGCAACAACCAGTGAAGAGAGAATGTGCAGGGAAGCTCTGTTAATTCTACAGATAGGTAAGCATGGCTCAGTACACAGAGGACTTCAGAAGATAAACAGCACATTTGTTTCTGGAGATTTAAAAAATAATGACATTTCATTGTTGCAGGGAAACTGCAATATATTTACTATTCAGAGGCAAACAAGTTAGGTTTTTATTCACACTAGTAATACACACTGAGGCAAAGTATTACCTTATTACACGGGAAGGGTGGAGGGGCTAGAGGCATTTATTTTTGATGTGTTAGTGTCTTTTATTGTTTATTTTAATGAAATTCCACTTTTCCTTCCAACTTTTAGCTCTTCTTGGACACTTTATAGCATAATTATTGGATATCTTAAAAACAACCTCTGGTCACTTTGGTAGGGTGATTTTCATTAAAATCTTTATGTCATCTCCCAACTCCCAGAATCCAGATCAGGTCTGTGATCTCCTGATCCTCAAGCACATGAATCAGCCAGAGGTCTTTATAACCCACTGAACTCCTTAGCATGATTTTAACTCACTGACTCTCAGATGTGTTATGTGTAACCTAAGCCACCCTTATTTATCAGCACACGTCCCTTCCATGATGTATGCCAAGTGGCAGTCTAGCTTGTACGTCCTACCAATGATGTGGGATTTACTGCTTCCTATGGCATTCATTCCATATCTGGGCACTCAGACACTCCCTAGGTATAACTTCCCAATCTCATCTCTGCCAATTGTGATAACTAGTGAAAAAAAATTCCGATGCCATCATTGGTGGCCTTGCTGTAGAATCATAAATACTCCTATCGGCATTGTTACCAAATTCTACCAAAGTGGCCAAGTGTATCTGCTTGAGAGCAATTCATGCTAGAGTTCATTTGTAAAGGAATATACCTTGGCATTACTGAGGGTGACTGACTGACAGGATCTTGTGGTCTGGGTGGAAGATGAGTACAGAGAAGCTACTGACTCAAGGGTGGTTTTGAGGTTATATATGAAGCCAAGATAACACTTCCTGTGTCAAGACCTCTTTTCTAACAGTTTTCAAGTCTTAGGAAGTATATCTTCACTCAAAACAGAGATGATGTCTTCACAGTGTCAGGATTTGGTGCTTTCTTTTTCATACTGTTGTCTCCAGCCAAGCCACGCTGGAAACCTATATATAAATACATAAAATACTAAATCTTCAAGAGAAGTTATAATATAGCACAGTCTTCAGTATCAGAGGTCAGAACTTAGTAGAACTCAAATCTTCAGAGGCAGTTGTTTGTTTCCTACATTCTGATCCAATGGGTAGAGCCAGAAGACTCAGTCTCTACTTCTGAGATAATTAATGCCTCCTTTAAATCACTGGGATTTTTTTCCCCCCTTCCCATTTGAAGGTGTTTATAAATAATGAAGAGACCAAAAGGGAGACAAACAAATGAATGAGGCCTGAGGGGATTGCTAAAGACATGCTGCCTGGAAAACTCCAACTCAGTGGTACTTCTTTGGGTTTTGTTTTGTTGTTTCTTTCTTGCTTTCTCAAACTCATAATGTGTCATTTCGTTCAAGGACCACACATTCTCAGAATAGTGTATGTGGGGTTCCTTCGGCTGGTTCCATATAATTAACTATTAATCATCATTAGACTGAAGGACAGGGTTTTAAAAACCTGCTTGAACAGGAACTACACTTTCTGGGCAAAAATGAGCTAAAAAGCAGTGATGCTGTCAAGCAATGAGGGGAAGATGAGAGAGAAGTATCTTCCTGAGATAAGCTAAGAGCACATCTGGCACAAGGGACATGGAGGAGAAATACTTAAGGGTCATGAGGATCGTGGGTCCAAGGGGATTAATGAAACCAGAACTAGGGCTGTCCTGCCATTCTGAGAGCTTTAAGACACACTCTCTCTCTCTCTCCCTCCCTCCCTCCCTTCCTCTTCCTCTTCCTTTCCTCTCCTCTCCTCTTCTCTTCTCTTCTCTTCTCTCTCTCCCCCTTTCTCTCCCCCCCCCACCAGAGAGATAGACAAAGAAAGCTTGTGAGGAGATAAATATATGTATGTGTATGTATGTATGTGTATGTGTGTGTGTGTGTGTGTGTATGTATATGAAAGGAAGGGAAAGGAAAACCAACCACGATTTCTCAGAAAGCTATTATCTTAAAGAACTAGAGTTCTGTGGTATCTGGCCTAGAGAAACAATACAGATTTAGCTCTTACAGGAAATTTCAGCCAGAAAAGGGAGTGTTTAAAACCCACTGGGCTGCTTCCCATTTCATGTTCATTTCTGAATGATCCTAGCTAGGGTCCTGCATATGGCACTGCAAGATCCTAGTTAACTGAAATCCCCACTGTACCAGACCTGGGGGTGGGCAGTGACCTGATGTAATTCTCCCTCACCACACCTTACACAGAGGCCATTAACGAGCAGGATCGTGGCTTCTTTGAATTTCAGTTCCTTGTTTCTCCTGCTCAGAAATGGTGAAAGAACATTTGATGATGAATATTAAGAAGGTGGAGCAAGATGGTGGAAAGAAGGGAGGTAATTTTTTTTTCATGACAGGAGAATGGGTCTTAGACAATTGAGTGTTGTCTGCATTTCAGTTTAGATTCTTGGATAGCTCAGAGTTTCTTATTTGACCTAGAAGAACAAACCTGAAATCATGGCCCAGTAAGTCTTCATACCAAGCCTAGGACATGGCTTCAGTAAACATCTTTCTTCTTTAAAATTGCTTTGCTGTTTGTGAGGCCAGGATGGAGCTTCTGTCAAAACAGGTGCCCTCTTTCTCAATGACAAACTAAAGTAAAACTTCAGGGCAAAGCTCTTAGCAGCATAAGGAAGCAGATGTCCAATTGTATTGTTCAATGGCCTAATCCAAACCAGATTGTATGGATCAATCTACACAATCTGCCTTATCTTACTCTGGTCTTCAGTATTATTCCTCATAAAACCAAACACTCAGCCACCAACTGGCCAGATCCAAGAAAAAGCTTTTTCTGCATCTACATAGATGGCCTTTTAAATAATTGAACAGAAAAAGCCTATAATAGTAATGTGAAGTATTCATAAATTACTGAGTCAGCTCTAGCCAATCTCTTGGAACTTTTGTTTTCTCTGGTCCCAGTTGTTTATCTAGGCTCTAGAGAAGGAGAAGTAGTAGTATTGTTAGAAAAGGGGGCAGCTAACCAGAAAAGCCCTAAGATATGAAGTTTACACTTTTCACCACTTGGAGAAAGCCCAGATCACAGGAGAAAAGCAGCTCTGACTAGGGCTCTCTGGAGTAATCCCCAGAAATGGTACCAGAGGGAGTTGCTAGAGTGCCTGAGAGTCTGGCTCCTTGAGCCATAGTCTAGCAAACTGCATGCAAGGACTTCCTGTTCCTAAAATTGTTGCAATCTGTCCAGTGAGGCTCAAGGTCCTAGGCTAAAATTGCAAATCAGCCCCATTCCCAACCTAGACTTCCAGAAGTCGTCTGAAAGGTTGGATCGGAGTAGTCCATACGCAGGCAGGCATTCACTCTCTCTACCCTGTCACTCTCACCGGCTCAGGCTCAGCACTGCACTTACTGCCTCTGCTGCTTTTCTCACACTCATGCAAGATAGACGCAGCCACGCAGGCCTGTGAACCCAGCTTCCACAGCTGCCACCGCATGAAGTCAGCAGAGTGCCATAACTGCAGAATGAAATGAGGGAAGTGGGACTGAGACAGAAACATCCTGTCTTCACTACATCAAGTGGCTTCAGCCTGAGAATCAGAGTCACAGAGCTGATTATTTATGTGGGACACAGCTGCCCATTGCCACACATAAACTCATCTTCTTTGTAGTCATGGCTAGAGAGAGTCCATGGGCTTAAATGGTACTATTCTTTGACTTATCAGTCGGTGACAGGAGACAGTGACTGGGAATACCCACCCAGCTGCTGACCAGCGTAAAAAAAAAATGTGTGGAGCAGAGCCTGGGCAGGAGTTCTGCTCAGGGTAAGTGAGCAACAGCTAGCTGGACATTCCATCTCTTTCCACAGATCAGTTTAAGAAAAAAAAAAGGGCTGAATCATTGGCAAAGACCTGGAGCTGCTTTCCCCATTCAGGCCTCACCACCTTTTCAGGACTCTGCCATGCCCAGCTCTGTCCTTTCTTGCAGGATGGGCAGGTTCTTGGGCCATGTCTCACCTTGTATAAGATCGCTTCCAGCTAAAGATCTCCTCCAGGCTGGAAGAGGGAGAGACCTCCCGCTTCTGCAGGGTTCCCCAGCGACGCCGGCCCCCCAGGAAAGAAGCTCGGTGCCTGCTCAGCCCTTTCATTCTCTCTTCTGTTCGGAAGAACTCAGTCAAGGCCCGAAAGTACTCCAAGATGACCTCATGGCTCCAGGCTGGCAAGGGTTCCTGACGCAGGAAGCCACAGTGGCCTCCACAGCGACTGAGCAGGAGGAAGAAGTAGGGGTTGCTGTGAAAGAGTTCAGTGGGCAGAAAGTGGTCTGGGGGCCCGCACACAGGGTCATCAGCACTACAGATACACAGCACAGGTACAGCTGCCTCATCCACATCCCGGAGGGGGTCGTTGTGGTCCCAGTAAGTGTCCCAGCTGATGGGGAAACTCTTGGTGTGGCAGAAGAGGGTCTCCTCAAACTCTCGCAGGGAGCGGCTCCTAAACAGTTTGCTAGTGTCCACTGTGTCCTCCAGGGCCGTGGCGTACCTGGCAGAAGGAAGTCGAGTGGGGAAGGCAGGAAAGAGAGAGAAGAATTAGAAAACAAATTAACAGCAGAGGTTACAGAGTGGCAGCCCACAGACCAGATTCTGCGCATAAAGGCTTTCTTTGGCCATATAGTGTTTTCTAAAACTTCCATTTCATTGTCATCATTTAAAATCTGGAGATTTTACATAAAATGCAGCTCTCTGGCTCCTCCAGGGAAACGAGAAGATCTGGCCACATAAGTGGGCATTTCTGAGGGGAACAATCGGGTATTTTCTCCCTCCTTCCTGTGTCACAGTTCTTACCAGGCCTGCCATTCATCATTACCTGCCCAGTCCTGGGGCAGCATTTGACTTTACAGGCACTAAGCTACAGTGATAGCTCTCCTCCTGACTTCAACTTCTGACCCTCTGTGGGGAACATGCTATGAACCGTCACCTCCTGAACCCCTCCTAAAACTCATAGGTTCAGACTATCCAAAGCAGCAGGTGTCACCTGCCCCCCATCATTAAAAATTAACATTTTACTTTAGGTTGTATTAGTTTATGTTTTAAAAACTAATATGCTATCCAGATAATGACAGCTAAGTGTAACCTTGATCAGTGAGGCAGAAATTTCTAGAGGGGGCTGGGTGGCAGAGAAAGTGTCAGGAGTGTAATTAATTTACAAGGTGATTACCAAATGGGAGCCTGAGAGCAACTGCTCTGGGGAAGAAGGACATCTTTGCTGTTGCCACCTCACTAGAGAGGGCCTGGCACCCTGACAAGAAGGCCAGGATGGGCAGCTCAGACCTCTGAGTGGATCAATCCATCATTAGCCCATTGAATTTGGATATTTATCTCCTATGAACATTCAAAGAGGCTTGCCCTGAGTTTCTATGGGCAGTGCAATTTCTATAGGGTCAGTTTTCCTCTCTACTTCCCTGAACTTATTCTCCAGCTGGTGCCAGGGTCGGCACTAGTGGTGGTCATTTGGGGATGGAAACTGGCAATTAAGCCATATGAGAGCACCTTGCCTCCCCAGACTGCTCTGTCAGCTCAGAGTTGCCATGGCAGCATGCTGTTGTCGAGCTCAGGGTTTGACCCTCTTAGAAAAAGAGGCAAAATGCGGCAAGAAAAGAAAGAGAAATCACAAGTGCCACCATTTATTGAGCACCTACACAGTACCAGGCCCTCACTTCTGTTATATTATTTGTGCTTATAACCACCACCTTGGGAGGTAGTTATTAACTCCATTTAACTGGAGAGAGAAGTGAAGCTCCAAGGGGTTAACTAACTTGCTGGAAATTTAGGATTTGAACCCCATATCCCAGGTCTTTCTGCCGCATCGCACTGTTGCTGTAATATCTTTGGCCTCATTCTGCCATCTCCTAGGAAAATAGAAGTGTAAGCTGAGGACTGGTTATGTGCTGTGAGAATGTCACTCCAGCTTTCTCAGTGGAAAAATCTCACCTGTCACCATGGTGGTAGGGTAGAGTGTTCTCTTTTTAGAGATTTAAGAAAAATCTTATGTTTAAATATTCTTTAAATTTTTTTTTGCATTAAATATTGAGTACATACCTAGGAATATGTAAAACATTTGTCAGGTCTAAAGTATTTTAATAAATCAAATACCACCTAATTTCTGACTCCTGTCACCTCCAGGCTCAGAGACTATAAGGAAACATTCCAGGCAGATAATCATTTGCAATTGCTTCCAGAGCCCTCCTTGCTGTAGACTAAGTGGTAAATGTCAGGCGCTGTCTCTGCTGCGGGTGGGGCAGGTGCTCAGGTTGCTAGGACACGGTGGGGCTGAAGTGAGGCTAGGGGGCCCAGGGCAAGAGTTCCTGTTCTAGCATAATGATGCTGATGAGTCGTCTACGGCTTTTAAACCTGCTTTCCTGTTTCTGTCTGGAGGGTTTGGACAGCTTCAGAAAGTGTGCGAGGAGAACTTTGCCCACATTGCCCTAAGGCTGTTTGATTCAATACAAGGCAGAGCTGTATCTGCCCAAGACCCCTGTTCTTGGGTGAGCCCAAGACCCCTGTTCGCCCTCTCCTCCCCTTGTCCGTCTGCGGTCTTCGTCACCTACCTGCTGAGGGCGATCTTCTGGTGGAGCAGAAAGCCCCTCTCGTAGGGCCAGGGCAGGCCGGCCTCAAACCACTCGCGGCAGCGCAGCACTGGCGAGATGCAGGCGGCGCCCGTCACGTAGCTGGAGGAGCCGCACTCGCCCAGGTAGGACAGCAGCAGCGCCGAACCCGAGCCCTCGCTCACCACAAAGAGCGGAGCCGCGGGGTGTCGGAAGCGGATGTAAGTGACCGCCTCTTTGAGGTCCGACGGGTCCCCGAAAGGCTGCAGCCGGGGATTGACCAGCGGGCAGCCGTGGTGGCCACGGCGGTGGAAGATGACCGGGTAGTAGCCGCGCTCCAGGGCGAGGAGGCAGAGGCCGAGCACGTTGCGAGTGAGGCGCCCCCACGCATTGGGGATCACTAGCAGCACCGGCGTTAGGCTCCCGGCGTTGGTGACCCGGCGGCCCCGGGCGCAAGGTCCCACCACCCAGTCCAGGGCCACCAACCCGTCGTCAGCCAACTGCAGATACTCCCGGGCCAGCTCGGGACCCGGCCCCACCGGCAACACAAAGTGGCAGAGGGTCTGCAGGTGGGGCCCGCAGAGCCAAGAGCGCGGGCCCGGCTCAAGCGCTGCCGAGCGTCGCAAGGCGCGCAGAAGGCACTGGGCCAGCGCCGACGGCTTACAGATGAGCCTGCACCCGCCGGGCAGCGGCTCACGCCCGTTGCCAAAGTGGTCGTCGTCCTGTCCCCGGGTGCCCGGCAGGGTCCCGTCTCCGACGGCACGACCCCCGGGACGCCGCAGCCGCGGGGCCAGCAGGCCAAGGAGGGCGAGCGCGGCCAGGAGCAGGACGAGGGCGGCGCCCCACGGCGGCATGGCGAGGCAGGAGAAGCCGCG